GGGTACTTATAAAGATCAGACGCGAGAAAGGTGAGATCAAGTCATGGCTGGTCATTCAAGGAGAGATTTTTTTTTTCAAAAATTGGAAAAAAACAGACTCTGAAGGGACTGCATGGATTCTGAGTCTCTTTGTGAATTAGGGAGCTATTACCTGAGATCATGAACAGAGGAAGAACACTTTTGGGGTTCAGTTCAGTTTCAGGCAGAGTGAGTTTGAGATGGTTGTAGGACATTCTGGTGAAAATGTGTACGTGACAAACAGAAGTAAGTGTGCAGAGCTTGGGGAGAGAGGTCAGAGGTGGAGATTACTTTTTTTTTTTTAACATTAATGAACACATGGTATCAAAAGACATGAATCTAAATGAAATCACCCAAGAAAAATGTGGAGGGAGAGAAGAGAGCCAGGGAATGGGCTCTCAGGATGACCAGTACAAGAGGGCAGACAGAGGGCCAGAGGCCTTGGAGGAGACGAAGAGGTCCAGGGAAGAAGACCAGGTAGGGGAAGCCACGGGAAGGGAAAAGAAGTCACTGAATTCAACAAACACCAAAAGAGCAGGGGCTCTGGAAGAGATACAAAAAGTGAATAAATAGCAAGTGATGAGAAGAGTAAACAATTGAAAAAGAGCCCACATTGCCAAGTGCTGGCTTGAGGGTTGGAGGTAAGGACAGCGCTTCAGGAGAGAGAGATGGTGGAAGGGAGATGATCACAGAAGGGGCCCAGCAGGAGCTCAGAGTCCTGCATGAAAGACTCATACACAGGACCCCTCATCGATGACTTTCAGAATATCAGAGAAAAAGACAAAATCCTAAATCTCTGAGGATAAAAGAAAAACAGTTCACATATACAGGAGCAGGAGCCAAAGCAATGGAGAAATGTTTCTAAACTACAAAGAAAGTTACTTCCAACTTATTCTAGATATTTCATATGAGTCAAATCATGTAATATCTCTCCTTTTGTGACTGGCTTATTTCACTCAGCGTAACATTTACCAGGCTTATGTCCGTGGTAGCATGTGTCAGCACTTCATTTACTTTTATGGCTGAGTAAGAGTCCACTGATAGACCACACTTTATCTGTTCATCTGTTGATGGACACTTGAGTTGTTTCCACCTTTGGGCTTTTGTGAATAATGCCGCAAGCACACGTATGTGAGTCTCTCTTTTCACTTCTTTTGGGTGTGGAGTGGAATTGTTGCATTCATTATATGGGCTTTCTGAGGAACTTCTAGGCAACATTTTTCACCACAGTTGTTAAGAGACCATTAAGTCTGCAGCACCGTGTTCCCTGCAATCCCTTGAAGAAACTCTCATCACCAAGAACGTCCCAACACTGGAGTCAGTTTCTCCTTTACTAAATATTACTTTAAGTATCACTAGAAGGGACTAGAATCTGAGGTAAGAATTTACTGTAGAAAATTATCTATAAAATTTAATCTAGTTTTTCATATCTTAAACGATGTATACAGCAAAAACAAATCAGCTCTCCTAATTTTAATAATTCAGAATTTTGTAAGACATTTTTAGCTTTCTGGGAATGAGATTCTGTCCTCTGCCCTCTAAAATACATAGACTTGACTGTCATACAAACCGCAAACACATTATGTGACTGTGCAAAGGCTTCCGAATATACATAAATAAGACATTATCTCAACTACCAGAAAGAAAAAGCTCAGAAAAAAAGACTAATAACAAATAGCAAAATGTTAGTTTACACTAAATATGTGAACAGTGTGGTTATGAATTTTTCTTCCTTTTACATACTATTCTGAGTGAATTCAAATTATATGTAATTATGCTACATATTATAAAGCAATAATTTTACTAAAAAGTTAACACATACCTTAAATAAGCTTGTCCACATTTGATGATGGAGGAGTAAAACCCTTCTGGACTAAGGAGATAAAGCTTGTTTACATGGATTTTAGTAACACATATACAATGGAGAGGATGAAATATTCTTACCACTTTTATTAAAAGACTTTATTTTATAAAAACGATACAATGCTCATTATATTCAACCAATACAGAAAAGCACAAAGAGGCACTTATAATTTCACCACTTAAGAAATTCTGTGTTAACAGCAGGTGGGCATGTGTCCTGACCTCTCTCTTCACATGTACACGGAGGAGAGGACTGATGGTGAGAATCACTGTACTTTCTATTTTTTAAAGTTTTAGAGTTAACTTGATTTGAATGCTACAGAAAATATTAGAAATGAAGCTGAAGGTGCTGCTGAACTTCAGATTAATATTTTTTCACTGTAAGGGCTATGCGTTCCTAAAAAACCTAAGGAAACCAGTGATTCTCAGACTTGACCGTGCATCAGAATCCCCTGGAGGGCTTGTTAAAAGACAGCTGGGTCCGCCACCAGAGCTTTCGATTCAGCAGGTCTAGCGTGGGGCCTGAGAATTTGCATTTCTAACAAGTTCACATGAGATGCTGATTTTGCTGGTTAGGGAACCACATTTTGAGAACCACTGCGTTAAGGTCAAGAAAAAAAGACTATGAAAAACTTAAGGTTGGGCACTAGGTTTTATTTTATTTTATATAACAAAATCTTAGACACTGTAACTTGATACCTGGCCACAGAAGATGAGGTGGTTAGTCCTTAGTCTTGGTTCCATTTTCCCCCACCCCACCCCTGCCATGTCCCAACTGATTAACACATTTTAATTTTTGTCAAGATTTATAACATTTATATTCTATTCTACAACTCTGATGCCTCAATTTTAAAATCTTCGTTGAGTATTTTAATGCATTCAGAGCTCATAACCATTCCTTTTAGAGAAACTGTGTTGGGGAACCTGGTATCCTTCTCTCTCTTCTGGGTTCCCATTAAGCATCCAGAACTGGTGCTCCTGGACCCAAAGGCCTATCTTATAGTGGGGGCTTTGGCTGCCCCAGGCTGCTCTGTGACCTGGAGAGTGTCTTGTCTTGGTGAATCTTTCCCCTTTCGCTGAGGACCTGAGACAATAGCATAGACTCCGCCTTCCCAAGGATTTTCCTAGACTCTTCTCCATGTGACCTAGTCATCTCTTCTGTCCCCTTGTCCATACTGGGGCCCCCGTCACTCCATTTCTTGGCTCAGTGCTACTTAGCGAGGTGGGGAGGGCTGAAGTCAGGCCGCACCTTTGTTGCATGAGCATCATTTCCCTGCGTCCTTGTCTGCTGGCTGCGGGCCAGTCTGTGGTTGCTGGTTATTGGATTTGCTAGATAATGTAGGAGAGTTTCTGACCAGCTTGCTTTTTCTTGCTTCCACCTGAAAGTATCTCCATTCTTTTCCTAAAAACTATTTAAAAATCTAAGATTTATTGGGTAAAATGTGGTCCATATTATGCATATACATAATTATAATGTCAGTATAATAGTTTGTTTTCCAATAGAAAAAAAAAAGAAAATGTATCCTCCAAAATATTTATAGTACTTTTTCCCTGTGGTAAGATTTATAGTTGATTCTTTTTAAAACTGAAATTTATACTGAGATAATTTTAGACTTATGTGAAGCTGTAAGAAATAATCCAGAGAGATCCCATGTACACCTTTACCCAGTTTTCCCCAACCCATCTAATTTTAAAACTAGCAAAACCACCAACAGAATAGTGGCTTCTGAGGTTTGTGAAACCAGTAAGAAAGAAACGTGGCCAGGGGCTACTCAACCAGGAATGCCAATTTTTCTCTCAACCTTGAGTAGATTACGTCCGCTATAGTACTTAACGCTCTAGATTGCAGTTCTTTGCTTTTGTGAATCTCCTCCCCAGTCTGTGAGGTCCCTCAGAGCAGGAACTGTGTCTTATTATCTTTGTCTTCCAGTGCCAGAGAAGGGCCTTCCACACAGAGGAAAGGGAGAAAGCAATGAATGTGACTTATCAAAACAACTTCTTTTCTAAAGTCTCATGCATTAAAGAATTCAAATTCTTTCCAGTCAATAAAAAGTGCTATGGATAACCTTTTGTTCAACCTCCACATGAAAATTAGATATTTAGTTCCTAATATACATATTCTATTTGTTACTCATTCATGCAACTAGTATTTCATGAGTTTCTACTATGTGTCAAGTAGGATGCTTGCAGCTGGAGATGCTACAATGAACAAGACAGACATGGCCCCTGTCCTTATTTTATACTCTAAATTATAAAGCAAGCCTTTCTTTTTAGCCTTTAGACCTTATGCACTCTATGTTTTCTAAGTACATCCATGCTACAAATAGGTATTTTTGCAAATAACATTTTGAGAGAGTGCCAAAAGTATGCTCAAATATGCCTAAAATCAGTTGTGGAATGATTAAGTAATGAGTCAACCATTTTACGCTTAAGTGCTACAATAAATAAAAATCAAACTATAGTATCAGTGTTGTTTACTGAGTTACATTTCTATGTTTAATGTCTGTTTTCCCATCAGACTGTTCGTACTGTAAAGACAGGCTCCATGAGTCTTGTTCTCTTGTTCACTGCTGTAATTTTAGGGCAGAATCTGTGCAATAAATATGTGTTAATCTAATGATCAGCTATTCAAGGCTTATTACTATCCGTCAGAATATGGGAATAAATGAAATAAATTATTTAAAAATTTAAGGCAGATGTTATGAGTACGTAACACAAAATAAAGTTGTCTTCTACCGTGTGCATGCATTTATTCCTTACCATAAGTGGAATGTTAAATATGTTTGGAAAACGTGACCTACAGAGACAGTACACAGCATAAGACAGGTCATCTATCCAAATTTATTACCCGATTTTAATGTATCAAGTGCTCTTGACCCTCCTTTACTGTTGACCCACTAAGGAAACGGCTGCTCTATCTTTTAAAGGTATATTTTTAAAAATTAAATGTTGCAGTAAGATTGTTCATAATCCAGTCATGAAAAATTAAGTTCTTATCAGATTTTGATGCAGAAAGTTCTGACTTTGTAAGTGTAGAGTAGCGTTTTAAACACCAGTAGGTCCTACCCAGGCTATACCTGCCAAGCAAAATTAAAATAATGTTCTCACAAACTAGCAAGTAACTGCTTCGAGCAGAAGGAGCAACAATATTTTATTTCATTACAATTAAACATTTCACAAAAATTTTAATGGGAATGTATACGCACTATCAAGCAGAACAGAGAAAACATAAAGAAATAAGGTACTGAGACCTAGAAGATCATTTAAAGTCCCATCAGTGTTACTTTATACACAGTAGGTACTCAATACAACTAAACTGAAGATAAACATGTTAGAATATGTGCTTGCAAACTGTGTAATGCTGTAGTAGTAAAGTACAGTTTCCAATATGAGATTTTGCTTGTCAGTATTTTAAAAGCCTTTAAAAATATGATCTGCACAAGCTTGCCCTGAGGGAAAGAAAGATGGAATACAGATTATAAAATATGGATTTTCAACAAGAGCATTTTGAAAGTGGAAAAGAGCAAATAGTTGTGGAAAAAACCGAATGAACCAATTACTAAAAATTCAGTGCACTCATAACTACCTGATGGAAAATTTGAAGCACCTTTTCTCTCGCCTTCCTGTGTCATAATATGAAATGCATGAATTATATAGACCTTGATCTTCAGAAGCTTAAGAAAACTTCAAGTTGTAAGCCAAAATGTCATCAGAAAAAGAAAAATCTTGTATAAAAATTGCTACCATAAGGCCACTGTTTCAAGTTCTTTCATGTACAGACACTATACAATTCGGATACTTTTGTTTTTGTTTTTTATTACATAAGCGAAACTTTCAACATAGAAATGTCTGGATATAACTCAGTTCTCTATGAAACCATGCTCAGAGAAAAATGCATCAACAAATAATGCCCTTTTGAGACTTTCTGCAAAAGAAGCTGTAATTAGTACAACTTTTAAATTGAATACTGTAATTTAAAAGCAATTGTTAAGTGTAAAAAAGTTGCAGCATTCCACTACGGAAAAATAAACTTATTTTATCAAGAAAGTTACAGTATTAGTGCTTTAGTGCCAATTCTAACTCTTGACAAAAAAAGATGCTCCCAAATATCGTCCTGTAGTGTCGTTTCCATTTCTAACAATTCCAAATTAGATTGCTGGGACAATGTTTGTATATTCCTATTGAGAGAAAACAAAAGAAATACAGACTTTAAAAGAAGCATTAGTTCCAACATCTGAGCTAGAGTTTTGTTTACACTACAATTTTCAAAATATTTTAATTAATATATTTACTGCTTGCACTCAAGATCCCCACAAAGTGATGTGGATCCCCAAAGACACAAAGGAACAACAGAACACATCAAAGTGGATATCAAATGATAGTCAGTAGGACAGAGAAAATATATGGCTCTCGTTAGGCTAGAATACCATACAGCATTCTGCTGTTTGGGTGGGTTTCACTGGGGATATCTCTGACAAAAATATCAAGACTCTTAAACCTTAGTCCCTCAAGTACAGAGCCTGACATGACACACGCACAACTTCAAATGGGTATTTTATCTTTGTCATCATATGGTATCTAATTCTAAAACTATATGGACTCCTCTAGCTTGCCTGGTAACAGCAGAGAAAGCTGTTAGAGGGAGGAAAGCTTTCTTGCTTTTGGATGGTTACCTACAATGTAAAAAGATGTATGACTTCAATAAACACAGGAAAAGGAATTCACAATAAGACTATGATTATAGGATAATGACTGAATTCTATACTGTGATGCTATGCAAAATATTAAGTTACCAACCACAAACTGGACATAAGACCATGCAACTAATAAAAGAGCAAAAATGGTAGAATGGCATTTTTTCTGAGACATTAAAAAACTTATTAATACATATAGCCTTACCTTTTACTAGGATCTTACATTATTAAAACTGAAAGAAATTTGAAAGATTTATTTTTTGGCATTTGTATTAGTATGGAAACGTTTAATTCCAAACAAAAACAGTTCCGACAGAAAATTCTTCTTTCTCTTTTGGTTAACAAAATGTTCAAAGTATATGCATGTATTTTTGTCAACATCATTCCCTTAAATAGAGGCAGACTTCATTGTACCCTATTTCTTTACCCATTACATAATATAAAAATAATATACATTGATCTTCAAATAAAATGTCAGCTGCCTACTAAGAACTTTCAAAACAAAGTATAATAAATTCAGTTTTTTTCAACTGAAATATCTTATTTATAAAAATGTGGAATTACTCTGAGCCACATTCACCCTTGACATAGCTTCTACAATGTCTCTCGGATTGACCCCCGCTACATTCTTCCAATTACGTGAAAACCTATTTTAGGCAGAATGCTGAACTAGACGTATGAGCATCACCCTCACCTAGGTTTTCATAACTTGACACTTGTGTGATTGCAAGTGTTTCCTTGTTGGGCTTTCTGCATCTCGCCTCCTTCCAGAACCTTCCTACCCACTGCCCACCAAGCAATCATCCTCAGACACCACTTTCTCCTTCTCAGTCTAGGAAGATGTCTTACTGCTGACACCTCACAGCCTTCATATTCTACCCAGATTTTGAACCCTCCATAGTTTGCATAACCTGTCTCTACCCAGCTCCACATTCTCCTGCCAAACATGGATCTTTAGCCGCAGCCCCTCCCGTGTCCTGCTCTTCTCCGTGATTCAGCTTACAACCTACCTCCTCTGTGAAGAGAGTAGAAATCAAAGCACTTAGCATACATTCTGTGACCATTTCTAACATACTGATTTTTTCCTCCTCTCTTTAGGCACTTACCATCTGTGAAATTAAGCTCTTCAAAACATGGTTGTACAGAAAAGAGTTAACACAGCATACTTGACTGTTATCCTTTGAAAGGCCTGCTTGTAAGGTTAGCTCTTGGCTGGCATCTAAGAACTTAGATTTCAGGAGAGTTCTCACCACTGATGAGTGTCTAAATTGTGCAAACAATATGGTCTATGCTGAATACCTGCTTTCTTGCTCAGAGTCTGGAATTTGGGTATGTGCCTGGCAAGGGGTACCCACGTGACCAGCACTGGGCACTGAGTTCAGTTCATTTCAGTTCAAAATCTAGGC